ACTACTCAGTTTGTCAACTATGTTACGGACAAACTTGATGTCATTACAATCATTTGATTAAGTCCTGCACTTCAAGTAAAATCAAATTTGAAAGGCTCTTGAGTCTATTCTACCATATATCCAAAGATTTTTTAAAGTTTAAAAAATAATTGTATTAAAGTTTTGTTTTTTCATGTGATATGTTCAGCACTGTCATTAAGTTTAGGGATATTTTGTATTATAAAACTACCATACAGGTCATTTTGATAGTTTTAAGAGATGTCATGTAAAACTCCAACCTGTGTAGATATACATTATACTATAAAGGATATCAGAAGCACTATTTTAGATATTTTAAATTTGAAAAAATGAGGTGCAAACATAGTTGACAATGAAAGTCAAACATTTGACGCAGATAACATAGTTGACTGGACACATTATTAACCATCAGCACTATGTTAATTTCAAGGCAGAAGTGCAAAATTCCATTGATAATGATGTGTAATGACGTCTACATGTCGTACAAATTGTCAACTAGGTTACCTGTCAACTAAGTTACTACAGTTATTACAGTACTGGGTAACTCAGTTGACAGGTAACCTAGTTGACAATTTCCCTATTTTGACCCATCATTTCAATGGTAGGCCTTGCCTGGATGACCACATGTCATTTTCTTGAACAGGTTAACATCACATTTGCACATATAATTGAATTAAAATCATTAAACAATTGTAAACCATAACAATGTACGTAACATTGTTGATTGTCAATGAGTATATTAATTGACCATGTGCTATTATACATAAAATATTGTAAAAATGTAGAGGACAATCACCACAGTGTGTTCAAAATGTCTGCCAAAGAGGAACATGGCATCATGTGATGCTGGTGACATGGTATTGGGACAAACAATTTTTGAGTTAAAGGGGGAAGTTCTGTTAGTAACATAGTTGACAGAACTTTTGCGGACATTCATATATTAAGATATTTAAATTATTTAAAGGGGGAAATCAATTAAAAATATGTTATTATTCTTTAGTATTTAGACTTTTGAAATAAATGAATCATTTTTTAAATTTACTTTAATGGTTTTTATTCATTATTTTGAATCCAAGACACCCTCAACTGAAAAACGGACATAGCAAAAACTGACAATTTAAGAACATCATGACACATTTCAAGCTAAATAAAGCATAGGATGCACATAATGTTTGTGTGATATTATAACATGCTTTCCAATAATAGGCAAAATATGATATTTTTGAAGAAAATAGTTAGAATAATTATAATTATCATCAATGGACATCAATGGACATGGAATGTACCCTAAATTGTAGAATCACTCAGCAGTTACATACACCAAACCTTCCAGTTATATTCCTATCAATATTATGAAGGCTTTTACAGAAGGGTTTGGTCATATATAATTCATAGCCTGAATTATATAACATTTTATAACTAAAAACATGGTGAAAATTGATATTTTAGGGCTGTTGACAGTATTTTCTGATTTATGGAGTGATACAAAGAGATATCCAAAATCCCTTCTGTAAAAGCCTTAGATACTAATATGACTACAAAATGAAACAATAATTTTGATCCTGGCTTTATCCAAAGTTCAGATTTCGGTTCCTGAAATGTGTTAAAATATGCGCATATTTCATGAGATAATGGTTCATTTGGATATTTAAACATGCTATTTCAGAAAACTTGTAATACAAAAAACAATTGCCTTATTGTAAGTAATTAACTGGAGAAATATTTAGCTGATATCTTTAAGTTAAAAATACCCTATTCACCTGGGGTGTCTCGCCTTAATTAGATGTTTGATAAGTGCAGATCACATAGTAAAACACGTACACAGATACATTATTTTGTATTTTTATTAAATTCGACAATGTCAATTTCACTTTCCACTATGTCCACCGTTGTTTTTCACAACCAATGGCAGAACTTTATTGAGGCCTGTAATTAGTCAACTACAGGTCTCTTGAGTCAGTCTTTTTCTTCCAAAAAGCTTGTGACAAGATGTTATTGCTCTTGGGGCATTAAAAACAAGATTTTAACTTTAGTTTTTTATATAATATCTGCATTTTCTATTGTGAAAAACGAAGTCTTAGTTATTTAATATATAGTGCCATCTCCTGGTTAAACCCTGAAATTGGAGAATAGTGGGAGGGCCTAACATTCCTGAATACTGGTCTTTGGCAGGCAACTGGCTGGCAACTGGCTGGCAGTCGGCAGGAAGCTGTATGCTGGGGTCCAAAATAAGAGGCTCCATCTGTAGAAGGTTTTTTCAGTATGTGCCTATACTAAAATCTTTGCAGCAACTTTTAAACTGTGAAACTATACTTAATAAGGCTGTAAATTTGAAGGAAAAATATCAGCAAAGGGAGAGAGATAAGCAGGTATACAGATCTTTTTGGGATGGTCTTCTCTTTAAAAGACATTCTATTCTCTCAAAAGAGTGTTCGATTTCTTTGATTTTGTATGTTGACGATTTTGAAATATGCAATCCACTTGGAACATCCCGTAGAAGACACAAAATCTGTGCTTTATATTGGATTTTAGGCAATCTTCCACCTGGTTGTCATTCTTCCTTGTCCTCTATTCATTTGGCTGCATTGATTAATACCAATGATGTGAAAGTCTATGGTTATGAAAAAGTGTTAGAACCTTTGTTAAGGGATCTCATAACATTAGAACAACAGGGTGTTTTTGTGGAAAAGTTGGGCAAACATTTAAAGGGCACAGTGCAGTGTGTTGTTGCTGACAACCTTGGAGCACACGGTATTGCTGGTTTTGTTGAGAGTTTTTCCAGCAGATTTAGTTGCAGGTTTTGTACAGCAGATAAATTAGATTTCCAGGCCAGGGAAGCTGGATGCTTTTCTCGGAGAACTGAGGAGAATCACAAAAATCATCTGCAAACCATTGAGGAAAATTCTTTGGCCAATTGTTATGGTGTTAAGAGAAGCTGTGTTCTTTCAGAAAAACTTTCCCATTTCAATGTAACCACTGGTTTTCCTCCAGACATTGTCCATGATTTATTCGAGGGAATAATCCCTGTTGAAATAGCTCTCTGTCTGACTGTATTCATTTCCAAGAAATATTTTACTTTGGCCACTTTGAACAAGGCGATAGAAGATTTTCCCTATAAATGGACTGATCGAACCAATCGCCCCCACCCTGTTCCACTAGCCTATGCATCCAATAAAACAATTGGTGGAAATGCACACGAAAACTGGAGTTTACTACGATTTTTTACACTTTTGCTTGGACAGAAAGTGCCCATCAATGAACCAGCCTGGCAACTTCTTGGTGATTTAAAAGACATTGTGGACCTGGTTGTCTCTCCAGTTCATACTCCTGAGTCAATTGGATATTTGAGCTTCAAGATCTCTGAGCACAGAGTGAGATTTAAGGAGGTTTTCCCAGACTCAAACTTTCGACCTAAACACCATTTCTTGGAGCATTATCCGCAGTTAATCTGTGAGTTCGGGCCATTGGTTGCGCTATGGACCATGCGTTTTGAAGCAAAGCACAGCTATTTCAAAAGAGTTGTGCGGCATTCCACCTGCTTCAGAAATGTGCTGTCATTAGCTGAACGACATCAGTTTCTCATGGCACATCACCTTTACCTGTCCAGCTTGCCTGAATCCCCCCCTGGAGGTAGCAAGTGTTTCAACTCTTCCCATTGACCTTTTGAAAGAGGACATTGCATTTGCTATTAAGCAGAGGCACCCAGACTTAGATGCTGTGTGCTTGGTCAAAAATGCATCTTACAGTCGCATAAATTACAGGATTGGGATGATCCTGGCACATGGCTCTTTGGCAGGGCTGCCGGAATTCACGGAAACAATCCAGATGATTGTTATCAAGAATAAGCTGCTTTTCATCGTCAGAAAGCTGAGTGCATGGTATAGGGAACATTACAGAGCCTATGAACTGAAACCGTGTCCTACAAAGAAGGTGGAACTTCTTGACTCAAATGAACTGACTGATCCATACCCATTGGCTGACTATACAGTTGGGGGAATGCGGCTGATAACTCTTAAAAGATACATTCATGTATAAGGTCAGAATGAGTATATATATATATGAACTTTGTATGTAATACTTTGTAAAGTATAACACAATGCAATTTGAAAAGAAAAGATTCATTGAGTGTACACCTGCATTTCATTAATTCCCTCTATTTCTCTCTTTCTCTTAGAGCGCCATGGCTGATATTGAACCACCTGTTCGATTGCTGATCATCTTAAACGACGACAACAGCGTAAGACTGGAGCTTCGAAATGGGATTCCCAACTCAATAGAAGAGCTCATTGAGGAGGTCAAGAATTCATGTGGATTAGAAGGTTACATAAGACTACAGTACAAAGACACTGATTTTGGGAACACATTTGTTAATCTTACATCGACACATGCGATAAAAGATTTAACAGTGATCAAAGTTGTCGAATTAGACCCCAATTCTACAACTGTGGTCTTGTACCCAGTTGAGATACCATTAAATAGTACCCCTACAAGTGGACTGTACAGTGAAGACTCCTCCTCTGGATCTGTGAATACAGATGACACAGTACTACTTAGCAGCTCTTCCTTGGAATCATTAAGAACACAGCAGTGGCCTAAAGTGTTTCCAATCCCGGTCTTCTCCTATGACACAGAATGTCAATTACAGAGAGAAAATGCAGAGTACACAAAGAACCAATCTAGACTGACACTAAGCTCAAAAATGCTTTCAGACATACTCGAGAAACTGGCTGATAAAGTCTACACATACAAAGCATACCCTACAGATGCTGACTTTAGCGATGTTGCTGAGGCATTGACAAGCAAGCATCCCTGCCTAAAGGAACCAGGGTCTTTCAATGAGAGCTATGGATGGAAACAAAGGATGAAGGTAAAAATGGCCAACTACCGGACTCTACTCAGAGCACACGGAACATCTGCAGAGCTCGCTGTGAACTCGTTGAAGACCAAGTCTCAAGAAAAGTCCTACCCTGCGAAGAATTTAAAGAGAGCCAGGCGAGCTGAGGCCAACCATTTTCCATCCTTGCCGATTGGTGAGACTCCAGAAAGCATGGAGCAAGAGAGAATTTCCCTTTTGGCAGAACAACAGAAAAGAAACAACCGGCAATCTATAAAAGAAAAGATGGCGAAGACGTTTGGATACCGAAGACAAGAAATAGTGCATCAGAGGCCAAGCATTGAAGGCCTCTTGGAGCGGTGGCCTGCACTTTTTCACATGGAAGAGGTAATTATTTTTGATGAAACCCTTGATTGTAAGCTTGTAGTGGAGAAGAAATGAGGGCCCAACTAAATAACAACTATAGACAGCCTAGGCAAATATGTTGACGTTTTTATTTTTAATATATATCACAATATAAGCTTTACATCTATGACTCTTTGTGTCTTTATTTGGTGGTGGTTTTCAATAAATATGTGGATTAATTAATTTAAATGTTACATTCATACAAGCTGACTTGGAGTACTTTTAATCAAAAAGTTGGCTCTTTATAAAAAATATGTGTATTATAAATTCTCAGTGTTTTTTGTTTTCTATGATGCTTATATTTTCTAGGTAAATGCTGAGTTCATGCGCATAACAACATTTCCGTTGGAGACAAAGTTCTTGGCGCAGTTGGACAAACACTCCACCAAACTGCTGCAGGTCATCAGGAGCAGGGGAGGAGTTGTGAAACAGAAGACCACCGGGATCTTGCAGGTTTTAGATGAGGTATCTATGAATGAGTTTTTTATCTGTGGGATCAGTGGCTGAATAGTCCTTTTTTTTGCATTTGATTTAAAATATATATATATAACTGTTCTTACTCAGACTGTGGACATCACCATCAGAAGAGAATGCATCCTCAAATCTCTAATGATCTACCTGGGTGAACCTGTTGACCATCTCATCAAAGAATTCCAGGTAAGACCTCCCACTCACTCACAAGATGTTTGTTCATAAAAGAAAAATAACATATTTGTACTGCATGCAAATAACTGCTTGGTTAGAAAGCTAGTAATTTTTGATGACCTCCTGAGCTTTCCTCTTGGGCAACCATCCGACTAAACTGAGAACTTTCCTTTTTTCATCTATCCAGTATAATCTTGTTTTTTTAAAAGGTAGCTGCAAATTTGGAGAAACGTTTGCGCTTCAGGCCTGTTGAACTACACTCTGTCGTCCTCATCCATTTCCCTTTTTTTTTGCATGATATGCAGGAAGCTGAGGCTGGAGAACTGGAGCAGGCAACAATGGCAATCTTTGTCATTGGGAAAGAGGATCAGTTTCATCGACCCAAAGACGTCAAGGTTCTCATCGAAGGAACAGAGGTCCTCAGCGGCTTGCCCTCGGTTGCGACAGCTTTTGCCATGCTCTTCGGGCTCATATACGCACTGAACTTAAGATATCCTAAAGAACTGCAATCCACTTTTGAAGTTGTGCAAAAAGTCCTGATGGAGCTTGAGGGAAAAAAGATGAGCCCAAAAGTGAATAGACTGAGAACCCAGCTGTTCATCCCAGAGTAGACACTTTGTTGCACTCACTCACTTGCAGTTACCGTTGTTCTTGCATGGTAAGGTTTGTAAAACCAAGGTTTTATAATAATTATGCATTGTAAATAATGTGCAAAAAAGTTTTGTATTCAGAAGTTGCACTTACAGTATGACCGATTTTCACTGTAGAAGTTATGCATGTCTGCTCATTTTCAGAGATTACATGTCTCACAGGCGCAAGTTGTCAGTGTTGCTTTAAAAAAGTGTGCAGTTGATTATCAGGACAAGTCCTTTTTCTAAGAGTTTGATGTTTGGAAGCGGCGCATATTACTGCATTTTAACTGTGGTACTTATTAACATGTCTGCTTAAGATCAGGTAATGGCTGCCTCAGAGGCCAAAGCTGGTTGTGTGTGTCACTACCTGATCTGCATCCCTGCCCGATCTGCATTGCGCATGTGCGAGATGGTCCGCCATATTGGACAACTCCGTACGGCAACCCAACTAGGACACTTGACACAGTGGCTTTTGGCAAAGCAGAAAAAGAAAACTCAAAGAACCGAGAGAGATGAGTTATTGTTATTACAACGTGACTTCACTATTATTTAACAACTCTTTTTATTGGGTTCTTTTATTTGGGGTTAAGTACATTGTCTAACAGAAGTTAAATTCATTTTTCACTTATTCTGACAATGTACTTAACCCCAAATAAAAGAACCCAGTGAAGTCACGTTGTAATAACAATAACTCATCTCTCTCGGTTTTTTGAGTTTTCTTTTTGTGCTTTGCCAAATGCCACTGTGTCAAGTGTCCTATTTGGGTTGCCGTACGGAGTTGTCCAATATGGCGGACCATCTCGCACATGCGCAATGCAGATCGGGCAGGGATGCAGATCGGGTAGTGACAGTGTGAACAACTTGTTTTACATTCAAATAAATGTGCTCTAAAATAATTTGTTATTTGTCATTAAATATAATATAATCATAACATTTTTAAATTATAATTGCTATACATTTCAGATACTGACAACTTACATTTTATATTTGAGACGATGTAAAATAATTGGTTTGATTTAGTTAAGAAATGGTTTTGAATTTAGTTTAATTATTTCAGGTTCAACTGGATGTTTTTTTTACATTCAGTCCGTAACAACAACACACTTTTTTCATTTAGGACAACGTAAAATAATTGGTTTACTTCACTATCAGATAATAGTTTGCCTGGAGTTAAAATATACAGATTGATCTGATGAAATGGACTTTCAATGTAAAATATTTCGTGTGATCGATTACTCTAATTTTTTTTAGTTGATCCAACGTTTTACTTTTATCAGTGTAGCTTTACGGAGCCAAAACGGAAAATATGTCTTACCTTTGCTGTTTTTCTGATCAAAAGTTGTGTTCAATGGCATTAAAATGATAAAAACGCTTCTGAAGGTTAATCCAATGTGTCTGTGTCTCTTTGAAATGATTAATGATAATCCATCATCATATTTATGGCTATAAACTAGTTTTCAGTTTTCAGAGCGTAACATAGCTTTCGGTTTGGGCAAGCTGCGTGCGCATCACTCTCATTCCTCAATGGTAACGTGTAGGTGGCTTTAGGGACTCCCCCTCGATTCTATTGGCTCTAACGGTTCAAAAGAGGTGTCAATCACCAAAATCGACCGAGGGGGGCCAGAGATATGGCAAATCCACCCAAATGACCCCAGAAGTGTTTTGTTTTTTCTAAACCTCTCTAAAAAGGTCAAATGTCACATACAGGGTACTTATTATATGTTATAGTTTGGATTCCTAAAGCTTTTTGTCTACCATCCCATCATTCAAGGGTGGTTTTCATTATAAGTAATGTGTTTGTTTTTTTTACCGAAACTATAATTTACTAGTTTTTTACTATGTTCAATCTGAATTTACTTTAAAATAAAAACATCTATATTGATTCTGACTTCTCTACCTTCAACTCACAGGTGTATCATTACTTTGAGAAAAAAATATTATTAATTTACCCCTTTTAAAAATGACGATATAGTCATTTGTTCTGGGCATGTCATTTTCGAGCCTGAGACCTGAAAAACAGGTTAAGCGATCGGCAATAAAATACATATTTTTTGCAGCGTCCATTTTCTTTCCACCTAAGGCTCACAGCTCATAAATCGATCAAAGTTGTAAGAATGACTTTGAAACTCTGGGAATGGGACCAATAGCCACGCCCCCAGCAAAATGTAGTAGTTGTGAAACGGTGGTTTTAGTCCGTGACGTCATTTGGGCCAAGAAATACTTTTCCCCATTGACTTACATTGGGAAAGAGATGTATTTAAAACATTGGGGTCTTAGAGGGAGTTTCTCTCCCACACACTCCCCTCCCGCTCTAACGCCTCGATTGGACTCCTTTGTTTACTTCTGTAACATACTGACATCACAACGTAATACAAAAACATGCGCTTCTATGGCTAGGGGGCGGGACATCTCTAAGTGGTTGACCAAACACAACAAAGTCGGCAAGCCAACCAATCAGAGCAGACTGGGCTCTGGTTTCAGACAGAGGGTGAAAAGAGGTGCTGCAGCACAGACAGTATGAGAAAAATAAAGAGCTTTTTGAACATTAAAGCATGGAGACATGTCCCAGTAGAGACACTACATACTGATATACACCTGAACATCAGCAGGAGAGGACTCTTTAAAGTAGAGACACTACATACTGATATACACCTGAACATCAGCAGGAGAGGACTCTTTAAAGTAGAGACACTACATACTGATATACACCTGAACATCAGCAGGAGAGGACTCTTTAAAGTAGAGACACTACATACCAGAGGTGTGGACTCGAGTCACATGACTTGGACTCGATTCAGACTCGAGTCACCAATTTGATGACTTTGGACTCGACTTGACAAAATCACAAAACACTTGCGACTCGACTTGGACTTGAACACCAATGACTCGGGACTTGACTTGGACTTGAGCCCTCTGACTTGAGGTGACTTGATAATTTAATTCAGAGGTCTCCAACATGCCGATCGCGAGATGCCGCTCGAAGAGCAGACTCCCGTCGGGGAAAGCAGAATCTCCATCGCCCCTGCCTGCAAGGATTCTCAGCAAGAGTTGCAGCGGCGGGACTTTATTTAGCTGGGCCACCATGCGGCCAATCATATGTGAGGACACACTAGGATCATACCATTATGTGAAAGAAGGGTGGGGGGCAGACGCTCCAAAGACAGCAGGGGTAGTGGTACAGGCCAGCTACACAGAGCGACGGGGAGACGGGGAGCCGGATTTAAATGCAAGCGCGTCGGAAAAAGTCAAGAAATTAGCGAAAACCGAAAAAAGAAGCAGCATCTGGCTGCATTTCAATGATATTGGAGAAAGCAAAGCTGAGTGCAGGATTTGTAAAATGAAAATAACCTTCAGAGCAGGGGGTTTTTTTTGGTAACCACTCAGGATTTATTGCCAGAGGTGGGAGAAGTTCAGATCTTGTACTTGAGTAACAGTACCAGAGTGTATGAATACTCGGTTACAATAAAAGATCCTACATTCAAAATGTTACAAGTAAAAGTAGAAAAGTATTAGCATCAAAATATACTTAAAGTACCACCTGCAGAGGGATCTAGATTCAGGTGTTCTTTTCCCCATAAAGACCGCCTCGCTGCACATTATCCCTTGCATAAAGATAGGTTGTGGGTCCCTTATAACATGTTGTACACAGTGGAAATAAACATTCTGGTCACCTCAACATCAGGGATCTTATCCATTAAACTCCTTCTGAATCAAACCGTCACGGTAGCCTTACCTTACTGATCCCTCTTACAATAGAAGAAAACACGTTACTTTACCAGCAGAGAGAAAATGGATTATTAAATTATTAATGTGACTAATAAAGAGCAGTTTAATTATTAAGTATTATTCTGTTGATGGGTGTCATTACATTTGGTGAAAAGCACATAATGACTTGTTTAAGACTCGTTTTGTCAAAGTTTAGGACTTGGACTTGACTTGAACTTTCCCATCCTGACTTGAGACTTGACTTGGACTTGAGCGCAAAGACTTGAGACTTGACTCGGACTTGAGCGCAAAGACTTGAGACTTGACTCGGACTTGAGCGCAAAGACTTGAGACTTGACTCGGACTTGCAAAACAATGACTTGGTCCCACCTCTGCTACATACTGATATACACCTGAACATCAGCAGGAGAGGACTCTTTAAAGTAGAGACACTACATACAAATATGACCCTCAAAGTGAGCATTATAGGGTCCTATAATATATAATATATATTTTATACACTACTATAAAAATACTTACTTTAATATTAAAATGTACATTAGTGAAAGCTTGCAAACTTGTTGCTTCATATTATATTGTATTTTCTTAAAATCTTAATTTGTAAATCAGGCTAACTAATGCTTTTAGAAAGATGCAGTGTAGTAAACAACATTAAGCATGAAAAGAAACGACTCAAGTAAAGTAAAATGAAGTGTAGTAATCATATTAATATGAATTCCTCCACGGTATTCTTATTATCCTGTTAAGGCTCAGCAAACAACATCTTATTGGCAAAGCTTGTTCACAAGATGTTAACCTGTTAACCGCGGGCGGGGGAAAAATAGCAACATCTGCAAGAAACAGCGTCTGAGGGCTTCTTAACATTTAAAAACCTATTAATGTGTCATACCCACATAACGGGAAGAAACTCAGCTATCAGATAATATTAACATTTTTTAGCAAAACGCAACATAAGGGTAATAACAAAGGCTCTGAATTAGACCTGAGTGAAAGAATTATTACACACTTAGCACAGAACTCACATTAAAATACCCTTATTACTTATCGTAACAAACAAGATATCGATTAGCAAGCTGAGATTGCACAGATTCAACAGGTATTAGTATCATTACTGACCGATCCTTATTATATGTTGTAGTTTGGATTCCTAAAGCTTTTAGTCTACTATCCCATCATTCAAGGGTGGTTTTCACTATAAGTCATGGTTTATTTTTGGACGGACACTATAATTTATATTTTTTTACTATGTTCAATCTGAATTTACTTTAAAATAAAAAACATCTATATTGATTCTGACTTTTCTACCTCCAACTCACAGGTTTATCATTACTTTGAGAAAAAAGATTATTAATGTACCCCTTTTAGAAGGGAAGATATGGTCATTTGTTCTGGGAATGTCCTTTTCGAGCCTGAGACCTGAAAAACAGGCTTGGGGCTTAACAGGTTTTAAGAGTCTTGAATTAATCTGGTAATGGTTTTAATAAAATACCCCACAGCACCTTTTAAGTGCAATAAGCTCTAAATCCTCAATGCAGGGAACACATTTCCAGGCCTCTTTGGAGGATCTTTTGCATTCTTGATGGAA